AGAAAGTAGACTATATTCGTATAAAGCAGAAAAAAAAGCTTTCAGAATCTTTTTATTGGATTTACGTTGCTTTTATTTTCTACCTTGCTAGCAAATTCTTTTATCAGACATCGCATTTTCAGAATGAAATAAAAATCATTGATATACAATAGGCAAAAGTCAAAAGATATTGTTTTAAAAAAATAGGATGGGATAAAGTATTTTTCATAAAAAATTATACTTCTCTTTGCGCATACGAGAAACAAGTGAAGCAAAAGCCGCGTTCGTGGTGGAGCGAGAGGTAACTGATTAATTCCTTTGTACGTAAGGATTGTTTTATTCGTAACACTTTAAAGGAAACACATATCAGAACAGAATCACATATCTTCGTTGTTCTTCATGAAGATATTATTAATCGCGGTTACAGTCATGGGATGGGTAGCCTGTCATGTGTTCGCATGATGCACACAGGAGGATGCACTCGAGAGGAGCAATTTAATTCCCGTTTGGAAAACACAAGTCAAGCTTTATAAAAATACTATCAACAGCAATATATATGTATAATAACGTATACAATTTTTAAATATACTCGGCAATTACATATTCAGTAATAATTATGAGGCCATTGTTAATACGTCGATAACATACGCGCGGCACTTTGTCATAGACAAGGAAAGGCACGCGTATAATCGATTCTCGTTAATTCTGCGAAACGAGACATACTTAATTAATATCCACTCTCCGAGACCCTTCTCCTGGATTCTGCTTACGAGGGCAGAATGCACCTCATTAATTTATATTCTCATTTAGATTGTGTAACAAACCCTAAAGTATATAAGCGTCCCTTCTGCTTTTTGATATCTTGTACTCTATAACAATTAAATGCAACCACTGTTCAATTTTATTTATAAATATTATATATATGTATATAATTTTATAATTACATAATAATCATCTTCCTGTATCGTTTTTTTCAACACTGAAATAAAGATAGTCTCAATATCGCCGAGTTACAAACAAAAATAATACAATAGAATTATTTTAAAATTTTAATGTTTCTTTCAGTAAAGATAAACACGTATATTGCGATCAAATGTAAATTAATTCGGAGCAAAATATGTAGAGCAAAGTAAAAAAAAAGAGAATATGGAAGATTTATTAGACAAAAAAAAGAAGATCGTATAGATTACGTTCATTATAATTCCACATAATCATACGATAGACTAACTGAGCATTAGGAGTGATGCGTGTTCGAAATTATTGTACTATAATGTCACTATCGGTTTTCAGAGTTAATATATTACAAATACCTACAGCTCCGATATATATAATTTCTCATAAACTTTTCTGTGTTATATTATTTATCAGTACGCGTACCTGTATCTTTTGACACTATGTACATGCATAAATATAATTATATATACACGTTAAGTAGATATAGTGGGAAAAGAAACCAATCTTAATGTCGTAATGTGTTCTTATATGATAATGTGTGTTGTACATAATAATTGTTACAAGAAATAATCAAGAGAACAAAATGTCTTACGTTATACGACACAATGAAAAATTATAAAACTGAATCAGAAATAAAAATAAAATAAGAATCCGAAAATCGCACTATATGGTATTAAAGAAAAATCATATCCACAGTCATTGTCTTAGAATTTGTCAAATCTAGCATTTAAATTGATAAATGTTGAAAGAGAATAAAATAAAAAGTAAGAATCTCAATTCCTGGAAATGTTTGTAAAAATTATTCGAAAGAATATGTATTATCCGATAAATCATTCAGCAGTAATAAATTCTTAGTCATAAAACATTTGCCTGACTTTTCTTCTCTTTCTTCTTTCATGCACGTGCATGATCTATAAAAAGATCGCACATACCAGGAAGTACGAAAATGATTGACTCTTACACTCTACTCCCCTAAGTTTATATTTCATACAATATTTGCTCGCATGAATCTAATAATTTCTTCCCGTACTTTCGGAACGTATTTCGGATATCCGAGACTCGGATGTGCAGAAAGCCTGCATAATTTCTTTCTCGACGATGTATTGAATCCAATTAAATTAAATAGCTCTAACTTAAATATATGTATAATACGCGTGTATATCTTTTTATACAATAGAATACGTATCTCTCCATTCATTTAAGTATCCGACATCCTCGGGTATCCGAGTATAAATATCTTATATAACATTTCGTAAATTCCTACAACAAAGCGTACAAATACGTGGAAATTTCATAATCAATGACGATAAAGTCCACCCCCCCCCCAAAAAAAAACAATGCATCTCAATATTCTTTTCTACAACTCGCTCTGTATGGTCCTTTAAAAGGAATATAAAATACGATACAAAGTATGGAATATATTCCATGCGATTCTGCGTTACTGTGCCACGTATTAAATTTGTAAACGAAGCTCGGTGCGACGCGCAATCAATTGACTATATAGGTGATATAACATCACCTGTTTTTTTTTCTATATTCTCCAACAATATCGATTGTTACGCGAAAACAACGTGCTCCGTTCATGGAAAGACAATATTCCTGCCAGAAATACAGATTTTAATAAATACTTAAGCGTATCTTAAATAATTAACTGCAGTATATGGTGCCGAAAATCAACTGTATGTGAATATATTTATATATTATTACCGATATATATTGTAATATACTGTAATATACTGTTCGATACCATCAGTGCTAAGGATCTCCTTATTTAGAATACTTTTATAGTTATCTCTCTTGCATTCGTCGTCAGACTTGTCCCTATAAAAAATAGCGGATCGTCATAGTTTATATAAAATAATAGCAGCCTTTGCAACAATTAAGTTTACAGCAGATAACACGTATTCAATTCATACGCTATGTTATAATAGGAATTCATGTATGAAGTTCTTCTCTATGCTTACCACACGTTCTTACGGAAAAAAGATAACGAATACAAGGATAAGATAGCGCAGTTCGTCACTGAAAAAAAAAAGAAAAATCACGTAAGTTCTGCAACGCGTAATACTCGTATCATACGATACTGTTAAGATGTTGAGTGTTGGCACCATATTCTCTCTAACGCAAGTTACACGATACTTACTTTCTTCTTTATGTAAATGCGTCGCCGCATTTACGCCGGATAGAGTATCGTGTATAACATTGATTGTGTTTTAAGATAGCTCTAATGTTGGAACTAATTTATCTGCGTTTTATCTAGGGCTCAGACAAAAGATTCAAACATGTTGAACGTTCGATCTATTCGAATAGTTCGAAGTTGAAAAAAATGAGCATATAATTCGAATATTTCGGACAGTTCGAACAGTTCGAAATGTAATAAATTCGAACTTTCAGCTCTGAAGTGGGTTAAAATAGTTCGAACATACATTCAGTTCGAACTATTTAACGTTCGAACCTGAAATTCGAACTTGAAGTTCGAACTGTCAAATCGTCTGATATTTCCGAGCACTAGTTTTATCATACTTGGATACGCTTGAGAGAATCCGGAGTGAATTACGAGATTTAATTACATCTCTCTTTTATGTGATGTAAATTTCGTATATGTATATGTACCTTTTGTCTCGTTAACATCTTTTCGCGTGACATCCCTACGTTAAATACTTTTCATATTTACATATCCACAAGATGTGGATAATTCCACATCTTCGTAGCTGTCTTACTCTTCCCTCTTTTTTTCTTAACATCTTTAACAGCAATCCTTATAATCATTGGAACAAAAATCATGCGCAGTAACTCTAATACATACGATATATTCTCGTCTACGTATAATTTAATTCCGCGAACGTCCGCGTTTTGACGTAAAACATTTTATCACCCAATCCTCTTAAACTTTATGAGCCGTATATTAATCTAGCAAAATGTCCCATGCGGCTCTCAGCAATACTTCTACGGTTAATACTTGTGACGTAATACGCTTCAAAATTTGTTTGCGATTAGTTTAGAATATATAAAGTTAGAGCGGACATTGCACGTCTTAATCATTAGAATTTATGAATATCCAGGGAATACTGTGCATGATGATCTCTATGTAACTTCAACAATAAGAAGATAAACTAGTCTTTAGTACTCCAACTGCCTGGTTGTACATTTGCTCGATATTACTTTGAAAAACTATAAAAATTATCCTAATCACCCTATAGGAATCGGTATACTCTCTCACACTTGGACGAGGAGTACACTATCAATGTAGACATGTAAATACAACTAGCTTGTTGCGGAGTAAAAAATATTTCCAGAATACGTTCCTATAAGTAAAAAACCACGTTTTTCATAGAAAATTATTGTTACTGCGTATTATCTTTCTATCTCTAACAGCGAGTACAATTTCTCGATAAGAAAAAAAATGATTGGAATGTTGCTACAAAAAATACGCGATGGCCCTTTATAAAGTGACCAGTCTAACGATTATCGATTTAATCGAGTTCATAGGAATGTCCGTATAAAAGCAGTGTCTCGATATTATTACTATCCGCGTTATCTTTTATCCGCGAGTTTAAGTGAAAATGTACATGTAAGAGCTAGTCAACAAAAAAGAAAGGAGGTTATTACTATGTTTGGTATGATTCTTCCACAATGTAATTAATCTACAATTCAGATTATTCGCATTTCATACATATTAAAACACGTCAATGTTACAGTTAAATGTAATCATGTGTAGAAAAAGGAATGGTTAGTTGCTAATACTTTGGGAATATCAATCCGCTGCGCAAAAGAAATGGTACTGTAAAAATACTTAAAAAATCGATCAAAGCAGTCAGGTACGTTTTCACCTTTAGCTTTCGAACTAAAGGTTGCGGAAAGTAACGTTACCCATCGACATGTCTATTCGCAGCACCATGTGTGAAAGAGAACAAGTTAACTTAACGATATATATGTGTGTGTATGTATGTGTGTGTATATATATATATATATATATATATATATATATATTTAGGTTTGAAAAGGAAGAACGTGAAGATACTGTGTGCAAACAGTACAAGCAACACAAATGTAAGTCTCGAGCTGTTTCTACAAAAATGCGTATCGAGTAATCGAATCAGAGGCAACTTTATCCTTTTAAATCTTGTGTTTTCGATGAAAATTACTCCGAGAGATCTCGGAAAAAGAGTTGCCTAAATCGCATCGGTCAATTGTTCAAATGATTTGTTAATTCGTTTTCCATTAGAGGTCTCGGAGCGATTTCTAGCATCGTGGACACAAAATTTTAAGAAGCTCGAATCGAGCTTTAGTTTAATGGAAGGCAAAATATCTGTTTCAGAAGACCTTTTCGCGGATTCTCATCCTCCATATCGTCATAGTCGTTCTCGTCATAATTGCTAACAATCGCGTTATTATTGCCTGGGTTGTAAGTTACGTCTGTAATACTTAGAGAACGAGAGTATGCCGGACTTTCGTATCGGAAGGGGAAGGGTGGCGGTAGCCGATGATGCTCGTTATAATTATTGTCGTTCTCATTCTCCTCCGAGTACGTCATAAGAAATACGTTATTATGATAACCTTGATTGCTTGAGCCGACAACGGGGAGTAGGGGATCGATACGAAGTTTTGCGAGTCTGTCTTGTAATTCATACATGTAGCACTGCTGCAGTTGATACTGTTGCTGCTGGTCTTGATTGTGACGCTGCACAATGAAAAGTGGCTCTTGTCACACGCAGTCCTCCAGTGACATTAATAGAGGATTCACATATTCAAAACCATCGAATTCACTCTGATCGATCTTCTCAATTTGTTTCCTGAAAATTTCCTTGTATGAATATTGCATCCAAAATTTATTTGACGATGATAATTTTCTTGATATAATAAGGACTTCATATAAATTTTTATAAAAATTTTTTTCATTAAACGTTTAAATTATATAAATTTAAAAAACTCTGTAATGACTTACGGATCATCTGGAGTCAAACGGACTTCCTCATCTGTAAATTCGGGTGGGAAGTTTGCAAGATCGCGATCGGAATCCAAACGTGGCTTGTAAGGTGGTGTAACTTGTTTTTGCTCCAGCTGCGAAGTTGAAAAAACATTAACGAGATTTTTTTAATTGATTAAGCTTTTGTATTTACGATACTTACCATTTCCCAATCAATTGCTTTAAAGAAAGGATGAGCGACAATGTCGAGGAAGCCAGAAGGCCTCTTTCCGCAACCCAACCTTTCCGCCGGATCTTTGCAAAGAAATCCTTTAAGGACAGATGCAGCCTTAACGGACAAGGACCGCGGTATACGTATGGTCTTCTCCAGAATGACTTGAAATAGAAAATCCTCAGTGTTTTTGTCTGGGTCTTCGGCCGCGCCAGTAAGATCGAAGGGGCTACGGCCTGCCAACATCTCATACAATAGGACTCCTAGAGCCCACCAATCCACTGAAAAGCTGTATTCCTCGCCACGTAGAATCTCAGGAGCAATATAATTGGGAGTGCCGCAGAAGGTACCGGTGTTGTCGCCCTCCCGGATGCCTTCCTTGCACATTCCATAATCCGTAAGCTTAACATGCCCTTCATGATCAAGTAATACATTATCCAGTTTCAAATCCCTATATATAATACCTGAAAGTGAACGATTATTGAATTTAATTGCATGTTCCATCTCCTATCAATTTGTTAAAAACAAAAAGAAGGAATTTTTACCCTTTTCATGTAGGAAATTTAACGCCAGACTAATCTCAGCTACATAAAACCGCGCGTGATCCTCAGGAAGACGGCGCTGTCTTTGCATGTGAAACATGAGATCTCCACCACGTACAAATTCAATCACGAAAAACAGACGCGACGGCGTCTGGAAGCAAGAGTGTAGGCCCACCAAAAAGGGATGATTGGAGGCTGTCTCGAATACGTGTTTCTCTGTCTGCACCCAATCGATGTCCTCGTCGTCTGTCACCAGGGACTTCTTGATTACCTTCATGGCGTAAATCCTCTTGGTACGCTTCAGCTCCACCATCAAGACCTTTGCATAGGAACCACGGCCGATCACCCTAATCAACTCGAAGTCGTTCAACGAATACTGCCGTTGCATGTCGTTTGAAGTATCACCCTCGTTCAATGTGTCCAATGGTAGTTCTTCCCCTTCTTCATGTCCGATTCCTACAAAATCATAAATATGAAAAATGTATCAATAATATTAAATAAATAATATTAAAATGTATTAGTAAATGCAACAGTACAGAAAGAGATCATTTAAAAAGGTATCTTCTAATCATATATAAAATAAATACGTTTTTTAATATAATTGTTAGAAAAAGCATGAAATATATTAATTCTAATACACAAAATGATATATATAAATGAATTATTTCTTTGTACATATTAATCCTACTGCAACAATATCTCCACAGGCAGAAAATTATAATTTATTTTTCTTTTTGCTATAAAAATATCATTCATTTTTTTACTATGAAAAATGTTGAATAACGCATAACCAATATGTTTAATGAAGTTATCTTACGATCGCGCGAATGCTCCTCAATGATTGGCGATTCTGTGACCTCATCCTCGAGATGAGTCGCTGGGCCGCATGGATACGGATCAAGCTGTTGGTCGCCATTTCTGTCGATCGTCTGCGACTCCGCGCTCTGCTGCTGCTGTTGCTGCTGGCTCAGGCATGGCTTGCGTACCACCTTGTGACATTTTTTGTGCACGAGCAGTTTGCATTGGATGCACTTGAATCCCTGTCGTCCGAGGCCCCAGATCCGATCCTGGCAGAACGCGCAGAAGGCCCTCTGCAAATAAAATCAACGAAGGGGGTATTATATTGTATTACTTCTCAAATTATTCATATTAGAGGTGTATCGCGGCATTCCGCGAGGTGGAAGTCGAGTATTTAAGCCTCACGCAGCGATAAACACATGCGACGCTCCGACTTTAAACATCCCGGAACCGAAGTCTAAGACAAATGATAATTAAGTTTAAGTATCCGTTCTTAAACGCAGCAAATGTTCTTCTTCCAAGAACTGAGATAAAGTATATTAGAGAAAGGAAAAGGATGAGAATAAAACGAGGGGATTACGCGCGAGGCAAGATTGAGTTTGCACGTGAGCCTAGTTTCGTAAGGACGGCAACTTTACATTTCCAGCAACACAGTCGAAAAGAGGGAGAGGAGGGGAGGGGAGGGAGGGAGAGAAAAGACAAAGAGAGCAATGTTCCCTTCAGTTCCCTTCGTCGATGACGAAGTCACTAGCCAGCAAGTTTTAGTTGGAAGTGCTCTGCACAGAACATCGGTTTCGCCGATCGCATTGCACCTGCGATAGATCTACTTTCGCAAAAATTACATATGAAAGAGAGCGAGGCGAGGGGAAGGGACCAAGGGCTGATGAATAAAGTACAGGTTGCGCAATGATAATTAAATGAAATGATGCTTACCCGATTAAATCGTTTCGCCTGAAAAATATGGCCATTCACTCGGTACAGCTTCCTCCATCTACGAGCGCCACGTCTGTAGATGCTTCCTTCGGAAAATGAAATAACATAAATGTCACAATGATGAAAGCATCAACTGATCGAACAATTCGCCGCGATTGACTTCCGCGATCCATCTGTGTTAAATGACGATGAAACCTCATTATAATGAAAATACAATTAGCATCTATTAATTATTAAATAAACTACTAATATTAATCTCTATAATATAATAATTAATTAAATTATTTTGTGACTTGTTCTATTGACAAAAAGAAAACCAATGGAACTTTAACTGTTCTCTCTAGATATAGTTTTATATTTCGGTGACAATTTTCTCCAAGTATTTTCTTGGTACTCTCTTGATGGAGACGCTTACATAATATCTTGTAAGATGAATAATAGTAGATTACATTATCCATATAAAATTTTCAGTCGGTTCGTTCAGGAATTTTATTTTGGTAATGAAGTTTCGTCGTCGAATATTAATATCGAATAACTTTGCAAATTGATTTTACGCTACCATCCTTTCTCCTTTCGCCTGGTCATGACCGATCGCGCAATCGAACAATGTGCGGCTTCATCGCAACGAAGCGAATCGATGCGAACGGGAAACAACAACATTTCGTGCGAAATGTGTTTCATGCAGCGTCGACGGTGAATACACGCGGGAATGATGGTAAGTTTGTACAACTCTAAAGGATTCGGAGTTACGATTGATCGGATTTGATTCATGCTTTATACACGAGCGATCGCCGAATATCGGCTCCGATGTCAGGGACTTGAGGAAGCCTCGATGAGAATTATTCGCACCCTTGGAGCCATGCGACTCACAGCAAAAGCATTTTTCCAATCACTCTGACGCAGTTATTTCCAGATTTCCAGGTTTCCTCAGGTCATCATGACATCGATGGAATCTCTGATAGCCATTCGGCGACTATCGAGCGACTGTACAATATAAGGAATGAATGTGTTTTAAGGTTTCTGACTTTTCGTTGCAGCGCATTAGTGGCATTCATGTGCATTCTTTATTTCATCATGCATTTAGAAAAATCATTTCAACCAAAATTAATTCATTAAATCATAAAAATTAATTCAATCGTTACAATATTATAACGTAATTCAATCTTTGTGTGTCCTATATTATCAGAAAAAATAGACCTTACATTTAATCAAAATTTCCCGTTATCCGTTAATTTACAAACTAAATAGACATGTCTCATAAGTTTTTTATCGAACACGAGACGTCATATGTAAAAAGATAAATATAAGTTTAATCTTTCACAGCTGCACCGAAGGATCAGGAGCCTTGGAGCTTTTTCGATGTGTAACACAGGTGTCGATGTCATGAAGATTGTGATTGAAAATTGTGTCGAAGGGAGAGCTTTGATAGAGAGCAGGGTGTCGAGAGATGAATGTTCCTTCTACGGTTCTTCTGCTTCCGCACGTAATGGAGTTACGCATCGTATCTATTATCACGCGCTAATCGTTTCTTTCCACCGAACGGTTAATTAGAACTCGCTGGCTAGTACGCAATGGTTAATGTACATCGAGCGCAAGTGAGGAGCTGCGCGACTCGGCCGGCGACTGAGACGTTTCCAATGAACGGTAAACACACTCACTGTCTTCTCCTTGGCACGGCATCCCGGGAGCAGGCGGCACGTTCGGAAAAACTGTAACAAAACAGAAAGAATTCACGTTCGCTTTACTGACAAAACATAATGTTCTCCTCTCTTCAGCTTCCGTTCAACAAAATTTTGGAAATACGATGGAAATGAATCAGAAGTTTCTACTGTCGAGTCAAACAGTAATTCTCATTTCCTACCCCCCATCGTCCCATATCGTACACATTTGATAAAAAGAAATTAAATTTAAAAAAAGATCTAACAAGATTAATGGATTATGACACGCGATATCTGAGATGAAGAAACGGTCTGTGTATAGCTACGTTAATAATTAATAGCAAAGCCGCTGAGCTAGAAATATCTAGAGAAAGATGCTGCGAAATCATGCTTCCTAGTAGCAAAGCGATCGATGAATTAAGACTGCGTATTTAATTCATCGACGAGACGTCGAGTCGTCGATCGACGCCACTCCCGCTTCCATCCCGTCAAGCGAAGATTTATATCGGAATCGGTAAAGTGTCGAATGCGAACTTACACGGGAAGCAATTCGAGTACCGGAACCCGATCGAGATTCGCTGCTCGTTGTCCAACATACTGTGTGTATTGGCTGCCTGTGTCCTAGTCAGTATCGCTCCGGTTACGGTCAGATAACGAGTAACACTGAATTCTATCCGTGCCATCAAGCGTCGCGTTATCACTCACTTATCGCGAGAGGGAGAGAGAGAAGAGAGAGGTGCGTTTGCGATTATATTTCCTCGCCACTTCGCGCCGATAAAAGCTGCGAGTCGCAACCACGCGTGCGAAAACCTTCGCCGAAGGTCCTGGACGATTTCCCGCAAACGTTTTTAATCTTGTTACTCGCGACATCGTCGACTTTAATAATCCTACCGCTCGGGAGCGGTTACACAAGCGCCATATAAATTCTAATTAACGAAGGACGAGCGAGGACATGAGCCCTTTATCAGAAGGATCCCGCAGTGCATATAATAGAATGATGATTAAATATACAATTAAGTATATTGTGTCGCGTGTCGCAAGCAGATAATACTTTATGAAACCCGGAAAGAAATGAAAGCCGGCACGGTTAATGAGTGGAATAAAATTGAAGCCGCGAATTGTTCCGGATTATTCACTTTAATGCTTTAAAGCGGCTACCCGGACTTGAACCAGCTGGTGCATCGCGATCCGCGAAGAGATTTGAAAGGAAGATTGAAGAAAGCTGAAGAAACTATTACTGAAGGTCACGACGAGAGAGCGGACAAAAGGTTTTTGTCTGAAGGCACGTGCTCCGATCAGGTGAAATCGCCGATCTTTTTGCAGAACTCGAAAATAGATCCTCAGGCTCGAGCGATACTCGACGGATGTAGGTTGACAGACAATAGACCTATAGAACAATCAATAACACGAATTCGTTAATAGATTTACCAAAAAGAGATTTAAATGAATTTAAATCGATTCCGTCTATATGAAGTGCACAGGTCAAATAAATTCATAAGCGAATAATGCAGAATTATGCAAGCGGAACGAGCGCATTAATCGGTTCATTTAAAACAGGGATTTATAATCAATTTATAATCAATTTATCAGTCCATTAACAATTGAAATGTCTGGATTATGGAAACGCCGAGATCTGTTAATTTAAAATACTGAATTTGATAGGGAATCCATTGGTTGGGAAAAATTAATGGCACGTCTTGCTAAAGCGATTCTCTTCATGGAGCCTCTATCACACGAATACGAGACTTGGCGCAGCCGCGAGGGCTGCGTGGATACGACGCGTGTCATATGATCGCGAGTTCGCTAACGAGGCCATCGGTGCTCTCCCGGTACAATATACGTAATCGAATCGTTTGTTACACAGGAGAGAGCTCACCGCGAGCCGCGTATCGACGATCCCAGGACGAGAGGTGAACATGCCGGCGCGAGAGGTGAGCGCAATTCCTTGAAATATTCATGGACTAATTATCGCGGAGGGGGATCGATGACACGGACGATAAAGACGATACGATGTACATTCACCCCTAACGTGGGGGATACGTGCAACGAGCTGTATGGAGAATGCACGTACTAAGACCACGACGACGACGGCAACGACAACGCGTGGCACACTCGAAGCATGGATCTATAATATGGTAAGTGCATAAGTGCACCGGCGCATATACCATGCGAAGGAAAGCACAACAACGAAGATCGTACTTAAAACTTGAAAACCCTTCGCGTAACTAGATCGTCGAGTAACTGGCGTCGAAAATAGAGTTCTAATTTATGCTCTAAATTAAACATACTAGACAACGATGTATTGACTACGTACAGCAGAAAAAAAGCTTTGCCATTGTGATGAGATTCTTTAATATAATTTTTTGTACATTTAGATCCAATGAGGAACTAAGAGTAAAACCAATCATATTAAAGAATTTTGCAACAATTGCAATTGTTGTATGTACAATTCTATGATTGGTTTTGCTCTTCGTTCCTCACTGGATCTAAATGTATAAATCAATCATGTTAAAGAATCTCACAATAATTGCAAAGTTGCGTTTTTTGCTGAATCCAGCCAAATGACGTTGAATATGGTTAAATTCTAATTCATGTTCTAATTTAAGCATATTAAACAACAATGCATATTGGCTACATTTAGCAAAAAAAAAGCAGCTTTGCAATTGTTGCAAAATTCTTTAATATGATCGGTTTTACTCTTAATTCCTCATTGGATCTAAATGTACAAAAAAATCATATTAAAGAATCTCATCACAGTGGCAAAGCTATTTTTTCTGCTAAGTACAGCCAAGTGGCGTCGAATATGGCTGAGTTCCTATTCATGCTTTAAATTAAACTATTAGACGACGATGCACTGACTACGTCCAGCAGAAAAAAACAGTTTTATAATTGTTGTAAAATTGTTTAATACTCTTTAAAATTTGTAAAGTTAATTTCATCTTGAAGAGTGAAATCTCACACTTAAAAATTGAAAATTGAGCCACTCTTTTTCAAAACTAGCTCAATTTTCATTTTTTAAAGTGAGATTCCACTCTAAACAATTTAGAGTACTCTCTAAAAAATTTAGGTATGTTTGGTCTTGCTCTTATTTCCTCACTAAATCTATATATATAAATCAATCATATTAAAGAATCTTACAACAAATTGCAAAGCTGCTTTTTCTACTTTTTTTAATGAACGCAATAAATCGTTGCCCTCGATTGTGCAAGCTAGAAAAGAAAGAGATGAAATTTAATCGTCAAAGCATCCGGCAACGATAATCGTCTTTGTTGCTCAACACGCTACAAAGAACTATGACAAAACGACGATGATGCGAGATACATAATACACTTATAAATAAAAAATACGCATGTATTTAAAGAATTGATAGACCTAGATGACTATTTTCATGATGACTATGAAATTAATGCGAAAGGTGGAAAGTGTGAATTATGTCATCAATTAAAATTAATGCGATCGGATAAAGTGCGGTATGTTAGGCAGAATAAATTTAATATAACTTATAGTTAGAAAAAAGTTTCTCCATCCATCATACACGACGTGAAAAAAAAGATGCACTAAACCGAGCGACAACTCGACAGCAACTACCACCAGCGCAACCCTTACTTTTAGCGAGGACAAAGTCGCGATAATTAATTCACGTGACCGACTTAGAGTTTTATATTACTGCAATGCGCTAAACGTCGCGGAGCCGGGACAATTTCCGTCAACAAATGCCAAAGCCGGCGAAAAGGAGGGCGTTCGCGAGTCATGCGGCGGCCGGAAGACACACGTTTTTCTGGCCGTCGTGGCGTCGAACGAGATGCACCGGACGCAATCGCACACTCACAAGAACGTAGCGAGTATTATCTTGGCGAGGTAGACAGACGGGCAGACTTTGACCTAGATCACGGGCTGCATCAAAGAAACACGACAACGGAGAAGGAGATGGAGATGGAGATGGAGATGGAGGAGGAGGAGGAAGAAGAGGAGGAGAAGGGAGAAGCTGGTCGCGCGCCAGAGATGAGCTCTTCCTCAATGCATCCCACCCTCGGCTGCACCTACCCCAGGTGATCTCGTTGAACTGGAACTGCGACGGGCCCGCAGGCTCAACGTCGAGCAGCGATGTCATCGAGAGCGCGGACTCTGGTGGCAGCGAGAGCGGCTGTTGACTGCACGGCCCGTGCACCCGGCATGTCGCGGTGGGTCCGTAAATTAGTTCAGCATTTGCCGCCACTTCTTCGAGCTCAGCCTCGGATAGCTCGTCCATGCCTTCGATGGTGTCCGGTGGACACTGGAGCAGCTTTGTCGCCCTGGACGAGGTACCAGGCTGCGCGAAGATATCGTCGTGATGGTGGTGATGATGGTAATGATGATGATGCGGCGGACTACCGAGGCAAGGGGGCGGCGAGATGTCAGCCGCGGAGCGTAGATGACCGACAAGCGGCTGCTCGTACTCGGCGGAGTCGCCGCTACCCGGCGACGGCGGATGTGTGCTAGTGCCGGGTCTCACGTGGCGCTCCCGCGGTAACACCATGCTGGTAGAGGTGAGGGAGGACGGACCACCGCCGCTTCCTTCGACGACGG